TCTGCCCACCCTGCGCAGGCTCTGGGAGTGGGGCTGGTTCACACTCAGCCCTGCGCGAGCCCCCGCCACACGCCTGTCTCTTCGACAGCTCCACCCCGTCCCGAGTGCCGCTGCGTGAGTGTCCGGCTCAGTTGCTTTCGGGGCAGAATGGGGGCTTGTCCTTCTGCACTTCCAGGCCTGATTCAGGGCCGCCAGGCCGAGGCCCCCAGGGCAAACCCCAGGTTTTCACTGGGTTGGGAGGGCCCTTGTCACTGCGGGGTCTGCTGGTGAGGACAGAGCATGTTCCCCCGTCTGCATCTCCTTCATGGGCTCCGCGGGTCCCGCCACTTCAACTTGAGTTCTCACGGGGCCTCGGGCACGGAAGGTGCTCCCCGTCCCACAGGCAGAGACAGCGCCGCATGTCCCCATCTCCCATGCTGGCTCCCCCGACAGTCACTTCGCGCAGAACCACGGGCCAGGGGACACGTGTGGCAGCGCAGCTCGCTCCCCTTCATTCTGCGTCCCCCATGTCCTGGCAGCCTCGCTGCATGTGAGTCGCAGGCCGACTCGGCGTCCTCAGGTCTGGGGCAGCAGCTCCGCCCTGGTCTTCGTGGCCTGGACACTCTGGGTCCCTCGGTGGCTGCGTGGTCTCCTTGTGGGGAGGGGGACTGGCAGGAGGGTTTGGAGAAAGAATGCCACAGACCTGAGGTGCTTGTCTCATGTGTCCCACCAGGGCAGGTGACAGCAACAGGGCATCTCTCTGGCGGCGGCAGCAGCCTTGACTCGCTCGGTCAGGACGGCGTCGCCAGGCCTGTGCGCACAGTGCAGTCCTCAGACCAAGTCTGGCGCCCCATCCATGCTCCAGGGCCGGGCCAGGCTCTGCCCGGGAGGGAGTGTCAGAAAACTGGGGGGACCAGACGTCAAAGCCACAGCCACAGCGCACGCGCATTCGAGGGGACGCACCTGGGCGTTTCTCCATCAAGTTCCGCCTGCGGATGCCAGCATCCCTCTGGGGCCTTTGCGGCTGCCATGGCCGTGGGGCGGTCGGAGGGCAGTTCCCTGTCTCCTGAGTCCCTCACACTTTTTACTCCGAGCCCTGGGTGCAGAAGGTGTCTCTCTCCTCCAGCTGCGTCTTCCCTGGCATCAGCGTGGACTCGGTGGTTCTTTAGCTGTAATACTATTCATTTTGCTCAAATCAGGTCCTGAGTTTACGGGCCACTTGCAGTAACTCCTGAGTCTTCGGGCCACGCCCTCACCCCTTCCGTCCCGAGCATTTTCTTCCTTCTACCGCTAGACAGCCCTTCAGGCCCATCTCGCAGGGTCCCTGCCCAGGGCCCAGGAATCCCCCCTTTGGCCCGAGCTCCCCGGTCCTCCCGCTGGAGGCCGAGTGGTGGTCAGAAGCCCAAATCCGGGCCCCGGGTGTGGCTCCGGGGCTGTAGCCGTCTCTGGGGCCCCCTCAGCAGACAGGGCTGGTGCATGTATGTGACCCAGGTGCGCACATGTCCACATTGAGCTACACGTGAGTTCATGCTGATGTTTCCGACCCCGGTCTGGCCTGCACCCTCACCCCCGCCATTTGTCCGTGGTTTTCTCCGGCAGCGAGGAACCATGCGGCATCGTCTGCTGCTGGTTCAGCATCCGACCCCAGAGCTCACGCAGGCCCCTGTGGGACACACACTCAGCGGCAGGCCCTGCGGTCCCCGCTGCGCCGCCGTCCACTGCAGCCGTTCCGCGTCCGGGGCAGAGGGGGCTTCCCAGAGCTTCGTGGGCCGGCTCTGCCTCCCCTTTCCTGCCACTGCTGGGTCAGAAACACACAACACAGAATCCACCTGCCACCGCTCGCTCCCCAGCCCGGTATCTGCCAGCAGGCTGGGGGGCTTCTTTTAAGGGTACATGCAGTCAAATCCACTCTTGGAAAGGTATGGTTCTCGCGTTTTGACAAATGTAATGAGCCCACCACCACGGCACCGTGCAGAGGAAGCCCACAGCCCTGAAAATCCCCTCGGGTGACCCTTCCGAGGCCAGCAAGCCCTCCCTGGACACCAGCAGCCGAGATCTGTTCCGCACCCTCTAGTTTCTCCTTTTCCCGAATGCCACACAAACGGAGTCCCAGCACGTAGGCTTCTGCATCCGGCTTCTCTCACCACGGAAGGAGTCGCGTGCGAGACCCCTCCCTGTGGCTGCAGGTCCTTCGTCCCTTACTTCTGCCTGCCGAGTGGGGGCCATGGGACGCAGGTGCCGCTGGTCACCCCCTGAAGCACTCTGCGGCCGTCCCCAGGCTCTGGCAGTTGCGAGCGAAGCTGCTACACACACGTGCATGTGCGAGGCTCCTGTGAGCGCAGATCCCGACCCACTGGGGCAAACATGTGCGAGAGGGACCGCCGACGTGTGTGATGTGCGCACGCGCTGACCTTGGAAAGGCCCCGCTGCAGGCCCCCACCGCGGGCCGGGGGTTCCGGCCGGCCCAGGTCCTCGTGCTCGGTGCTGTTATCGGGCCTTGGTGCTGTCTTTTCCTTCCAGGAGGCGAGAGGTCAGGCTCCGGGTTTCCCCCGAGATACCCAGAACGGCCGTCCCCAGACCTCAGCCGTGCCGCTGGAGCGTCGTGGCGGCTCGCTGTGGGTTCAGCCTACATTCTCCTGACAGCTGCCGGCGCTGCTGAACACAGGCGTCTCACGCGTGTTTCTCTGTGACCCGCTCCGTAACGCAGGGCGTCCGCTCGCTTGTCCAACTGTGAGAGTCCGTGTGTGTGTCCTGGACACTAGTTTCTGGCCAGGTGCGTGACGTGTGAGCACTGTCTCCAAGTCCGAGGTTTATTTCAGATAAATTCCAACTCGTCACTGTTTCCCCCACTCACAGATCCAGCTTCTTGTGTCACAGTTCAAAGCCGAATGCCAAGTACAAGGTGCAGAGGTGTCCTCCTAGGCTTCCTGGCAGAAATGCCAAGGGGCGCGTTTCACCGTGGTTTTCAGTAACACGTACGCAACACCTTTTACATTTCCACGTTCTGATCACTGCTCTTCCGAGTGTTAGGTATAAGCGTTAAGAGTAAGATTTACACACATACACATTTAAATTACCAGTACATTTAGGAGATAGTTGCCTTGCTTTGGGGTGGGAAAACCTAGTTCAAGAAGCAAAAGGCACACCATTTTAAAACCACAGAACGCTTTCTAGGACTACAAACCACCATAATTAGGGTCGAGCCACCAAAGAGATACTGAGGAAGGTGTCGGTGCCTCAGACTATGGAAGCCTCGTATTTTCTAACACACGTGTATTGAGTTGGCCAGAAAGCTCGCTGGTTTTTTCCCACTCGAGGCTTCAGTGAGCGCTCAGCTGTCTGAAACCTCACTCAAGACGATTCTGCTGGACTGTATCGTGGCGGCTGCCACGGCGCTGTGCGCCTTTAGAAATCGGAATGGGAGGATTTTTGTGCAGCCATTTAATGCTGAAGTAGGAAGATGACATGCACCATCTCTGGCGTGTTAATGCTTTATTGTTTCAGGAAAGGTAAGAACGCCACTGAACCACAAAGATCTGTGCCGTGAGGGATCGCACAGCCGGAAGAGGTTGCGCCGTTTCGAACCGGAGGTCTCTCGCTGGACGACGCTCCCCGGTCGGATGGGCGGCGATCCAACCGAGGCGTTAACTGGGAGCGGCCGACGTACTCAAGTACCCAAATCAAAGTTATTGGAGAAATGAAAAACGTGTCGTGTTTTATGGGAAAAAAACTACGCAAACTCTTTGGCCAACCCAAAATAAACAATCCCTACAATGTGAGCACAGTCGCACAAGGGATAAGAACAGGTGATTCCGCACGAAATCCAAACGGCCTCCGAGCCACAGAAGGCACTTGGCACGGCAGGGCACACGGCACCCGTCTTCCACGGCGCCGGGAGTGGACGTGCAGCCACCAGCACCAGCCCACACAGCGGGCGGGGTTCGAACCGTTACAACTTCTAGAGAAACAGCCCAGGGACAGACACGAGAGCAACGGAGGAAGCACCCTGCCCCTGCCCCAGCCCGGCCGGCTGCCCTACCTCAGGCGGCGTCCCTAACCCTGGGCAGCCCACTGCTGTCTCACAGCGGCGGCTTCACGCTGACGAAGCCCGCACATCCATCAAACGTGGGCGCTGCAGTCCCGGTGGCAGAGCTCACCCAGGGACCGTGACCAAGCACGACTCCGGGGTCCCCACAGAAAAGCACGGTGGACGAGCGCTGCAGGGCAGGAACGGAACTGCCCCGTGTATGGAGGCGGCCAGCCGCGCCTGGCGTCGGCTGCCCGGACGGGCCGCGCACAGGCCTGGGACAGGCGGCGCCCAGTGCTCGCATCCTCGGAGGAGGAAGACCCTCGCACGTGTCGCCTTTTTATCAGGAGGACTTCATTCTTTTTCAATAAAAACACTGAAAAACCCAGTGAGACTAGACAGAACATCGAGGGGCCCTGGGCCCGTGGGTGGGGTTGCCGGGAGCCGGCCTGGGGATCTGAACGGGTGGTCGCGATGCCTTCCTCAAAGTGTGGGTGGTCGACACGGCGCCTTGGCCCGAGAGCAGCCAGGAGCTCTGGGGCAGGCCCTCGCTCCTGGGCATGCCAGTCCCGTGGACAGGAGCCCCACCACCCCGGGTGTGCAGTGACACACCACCAGCCCATGGCCAGCGTGAGAACAGAGCGTGGTGGGCGTGGTGGGCGTGGGGGCAGCATCTCCCACCGGACTGCACTTGTCTGGGCTTTGTTCTTGGCCCAAACAGGTCAAGAGGCCCCTCCCACAGTCTGAGGGGCATCGCTGACCCTTACCTGCCCCTTGGCTACAGGAAGCCTCTGGCACGTGGGGGTCACCCTGACACAGTCCCCGCTCTGCACTCTGTGTGTCTCTTGTCCACTTGCGGGAAGGCCCCGGGGGAAGCTCTGTCCCGCACTGGGGGGGCGCGTTGGGACGGGCACTGCAGCCCAGCGCTGGGGCCCTTGACCCCTCTGGCCACCGCCGTCCGCAGAGGCTAACCTGCCCCCGCCCCCTCCCGCAGTGAGGAGAAGCCCCGCGCTGCTGGACGTGAGCCCCACGCGCTTCGTGAGGACCAACAGCTTCATGGAGGACCTGGACCTCGAGGGGGAGACGCTGCTGACCCCGATCACCCATGTGTCACAGTGAGTGCCGCTGCCTGCCGGGGGCAGCCTGGGGGTGGCGGGGCGCGGGCTCCACGTCACTGCTGCAGGGCTAGGCTGGGGCTCAGGCCTGCGCACCCAGTGCCACCGCTGGCCGCTTGTTCCCAGCACCCTGGGGCCACTGGCTACCAGGGGCCAGCCCCAGTGTCCAGGCGGCACCAGGCGGGAGGAGGGCAGGGGCGTCTCCCGCCCGCTGGAGAACATGACCCCCCCACCGACTCATGGAAACCACACTGACCACGTCCCCCTCTTTTCGTGCGTTGAGCGTCTGAGAAGGTCGTTTGCTCCCCTCTCATTCCCTCTGCTCCCCAAAAAGAGACGGCTGTGTGTTTGAGCGCTGCCCTGTGCAGCCTGGCCAAGCCCCGGGCAGACGCCGAGTGTGCCCGCCAGTTGCCGGCTGTCCTTGGGGTTCCTTCAGGTGGAGGAAATGGCCGATTTTCCACATCTCCCAGTCGGCCTGTCCCAAGGCACAGCTGGCCTAGGGCACAGGCCTATCCTCCCCATCACGGCCTGCTCTGGCCCCGTCCACCCGCGGCTCCCTGGCGAAGCCTATGCGTCCTCAGCCCTTGCAGTCTCCTGCCGGCACCACCACCTGCCCTGTGGCCTGAGGATGCCCCGACTTGGGGGCGCCGGGCAGGGCAAGGCCCGAGGCCTATGGCCGTGCTATCTTGGCCACTGGGGCCAGCGCACACCAGTCGGGTGGCCGGAAGGGCTTCTCATTGTGATGGGGGGGGCAGGGGATGCTGACCCACAGGACCCACCAGCCACGTCCCAGGCCCCTGTGCCCACAGGGAGGCCACGTGCTCACAGGCCGGGGCGCTGGGAGGCAGGGCAACGGGGCCCCGCGGCCCCGGGACTGAAACGAATTTCTGGGCCCGGCCTGGGAACAGGGCTCTGCCCCCCAGGCTCATGCCCAGCGTGGTAACTGAGCGGCGGGTGGGACGACTGGGTGGGAGCGGAGGCGGGGCCACCGAGCGAGCCTGGCCGGCTGGGCAGGTGCGGGCCGGCGCCCGGAGACAGAGCACCGAGTCTGGGGCATGAGAATCTCACAGTGGTAAGTCCGCGCTTCACGGCCAGAGGTGTGTGCACCACGGCAGAGCCTGCCCGGACACCCCAGGGGGTCTACCTGTCAGAGCGACTGTCCTCTGCTCTCGGCAGTGCACGCGGGGGTCGCTGCCTGGGAAGACAGGGCTGTCGCCGCCACCCCCACCCCACTCCGGTCCGTTCAGCCCAGCAGTCGGGCCTCACAGGGAAGCTGGGGGTACGGTGGTGGCAGACTAGGGGCGGAGGTCGCCCACAGGCACCCCCTCTAAGGCGAGAGTGGTCCGCCGGCGCCACCGGCACTGCCACCTGCTCAGGGAGCGGGGGCGTCTCAGCCAGCACCGCCGCACGGTCCGGCCTGGCATTCTCCTGCCCCTTCTCGCAGACGGAGACTGTCCAGCAACCAGCCGCAGTTGCTCTGCCCGCTGTGGGCCTCCGCAGCCCGAGTCCTGCGGTGCGGCCCACAGGTTGGGGGGACCCTCTCCTGCCCTGGCTGGACCGAGATTCCCACCCGCCCCGAGAAGGCTTCTGTAGCGCAGGCCGGTTCCGAAGCAGGGGGGGACGGCGCCCAGGTGCGGCACTCCGGGTCGGGGGCTGCAGTGGGGGCGGGGACGAGGTGTGCATGGAGTGGCCACCACGAGACACTGCACAAGTCCAGTCAAGGCCAAGTCAAGGCCCACAGGGCAGGGGTCTGCGTGCCGTGTCCCTGGTAGTCGGAGCTCCCGCCCTTGAGCATGGAAGGTGTTGGGGCCTCAGAACCTCTGCACCCCCAGGGCTGCTGGCCAGGTGGAGATGGCGGTGGCAGACGTGGCGTTTACTCGGGCCTGGCCTTCGAGCCCCCACTGGTACCGCGTCCCTTCCCCTCCCACCCAGCCAGCCTGGGGTCACGCCCCCTCCGAGACCCGGCTCCAGCTGCCCAGGCACAATCAGGCCCCACAGACAACCCAGCCCCGTGCCCCCAGCCCTGGGAAGGGGCGTGTGCCCCTCCCCCTGCCGCGTTGGAGGGACAGGGGTGCACAGGGGGCAGAGCGGCAGGGAGGGGGTTACTGAGAAACAGATCTGCTTTTCTCCGGCACGTTACTGATGTTAAATGTATCACCACGTTGGGCTGGTTCCAGAATTCAAATTAAAAGCATAAAGAAAGACACATTTTGTTTCCATCTCAAGCTCTCCCCACCCGAAGGGCCCCAGGGAGGTGAGGTCACCACAGCCATGATTACGGGATGGTCCCTGGGGCTGGAAGAAGCTCCCCTTTCCAGGGCCTGCTGGCCTTCAGTGCAGCAAGGGGTGGGGGCCCCTGAGCTCAGCAACCAAGCCCGGCGCAGACTAGGGGTGGCCGGCGAGTGGCAGCTGGGGTCCAGTGGAACGAGGGGACAGGGTGGCTTGAATCGCCCACGCACCATCGGCGAGCTCTGCCCACACCTTCCCAGCAGACCCTCCCCTACGCGAGGCCTTGCGGGGCCCCGGCGCAAGTACCAGGCAGGGATGCCCCCCCCCCCCCCCGCCTACTGCACGAGAGGGGAGCCCTGCGCCTGGGCAAGAGCTGGGGCCAGTGCCCAAGCTTCCCCCCCCCTCAAAGGTCACACACAGGACAGTGTGAGGGGACAGCCACCCAGTGTGTGTCCCCACACCTCACCTGGGACACCCTGTCTGAAACCCCCTTGTCACCCCCTCGCCTGAGTGGCTCAGGCAGCATGTCCCCCTCCGGCTCTCTAGGCCCCGAGCGCCCAGAGCTATCAGTACGGGTCTGGGGACCCTCGGCTTGTCCCACCCCAGCACCCAAAGCCCCAGCCAGGACCAGCTCAGAAGTCCTGCTCCCGACCCCACCCAGACGCAGCCCCGGGCAGGGCCAGCCAGGGCAATTGGGAAGGGGGGCCTCCGTGCGGTGGAGCCGCAGGCAGGGCCGGGGGCCGTGTGGGCGTGGCCCGGGCACCCTGCTCCCAGCAGTCTGGGGAGTTGGGGGCCCCGGTGTGCAGCCCCTCCCCCAGCCGCCCATCACCCCATCGAGTCCACGCAGATGCCCAAGGTGGGCAGAGTGAGAGGCCCGGCCCACCCTGGGCCCAGTGGCACATAGTTTCCCTGAGGGGTCCCTCCAGGAGCCTCGGCCCCTGGGCCCCCCCCCCGACCCCCAGGCCGGTGTTCCCTAGCCACCCTGTCCTGCTGTGTGGGGGAGAGAACGAGGCAGCCCCATCACGGCAGCCTGCAGATCCCTCAGCAAAACCGGCCCCGCGTGTGTTAACTGCAGCTTCCACGTCTCCAACTCTCTCCCAGACCCTGCAGAGCCTCGCGCCAGAACGTTCCAGTTTCCCCTTCCCAGCGAGGCTGCTGTGGCCTGGCCTCCGTCCACATCCCTGCTAATGTCTCCTGAATTCTGCATTTGTCAGCGAGGCTGGGGCCGGCCCACCCTGGAAACGGGGGCAAACGTCGTCGGCGCGGCCCCGCGCTCCACTCCGTGGCCCCGGGGCCTCGCCCTCTGGATGGGACTGGCCTGCCTGGGGCAGCTCAGTGACACGGGGGTCCCACAGACACACAGACATTGCCCCTCCACACGCTGCCCGCTTTGTTCCCCACCGCAGAGTGGGACGGGAGAGGACGGAGAGGCCGTTCTGGGGAGAGGGCCTGCCAGGAACAGACGGAACCCGTTTGTCCCCCCAGACCCGCGTCCCGTGTTCCTCGACCACCTGTCTGCCAAGGTGCCGAGGCGGCCCGTGGGAGGCTGTGCTGAGCTGCCTGAGTCACTGGCTCCCTGTCGGAGCCTCACGGCCCTGGCTGGGCTCAGACCCTTGTCTGAGATGCACGGGGGGCGGGGGGCAGGAAGGGATTACATGTTCTAATTGAATTAAAAGCGAGGCAAAATGGCTCGGTGGGAAAGAGACAGGCTGGGAAGAGGATGCCCTGGAGCTGGCTTCCAGCCGGCACCAGCAAGGCTGCGGGTGGCCCCCAGCCTTCGGGAGTGTCATTCTGCCCCTCTGAGCACGTGAAAAGGATGCCGCGGTGGCCTGGCGCCGCCGTCCTGGAGAGTAGGTCGCCGTCCAGATAGCAGGGGAGCAAGGAGGCCCCCCCATCCTCGGCCCCATCACCACGGCCCCCAGCCCGGCTGCCCAGACCAGGGCAAGCGGTGCTGGGTGTGCAGGAGAGGCACCCGTCCGGCCCTAGAGGTAGCTGGAGGACACAGCGACCACACAGGTCACACTGGGGCCACAGGGACGCTTCTGGAGGCTGGGGGTCCCCATGTGCTCGTCCTGCACGATGGAGCCCGGGGCACAGTTGTCAGGTGCCAGCCCGGCCCTTGGGCTCAGGGCCCTGTCCCCGCCGCGTCACGTGGAGGCTGGCACACACTGGTGGATGAGCACGGCAGTCCCAAGTGTCCAGACCGAGGGGTCTGCTCCCCTGGAAGCCGTGTAACTGGCACCCGGGTGAGGCAGCAGAGACTCCCACTTCTGATCCCCGACACCCGGGGTGACCCCGGTGTGGCTCGGAGCAGCCGGATGCAGCTTCACTCCCTCCTGCCGACTGGCACACTGCTGTGCGAATGGCTACACTCGGTCTGTCCCCTCCACTGTTGCTGACCACGGGGGCGTGTGCCCACTGTGGGCTTATCACCGTTTGCGCTGAGAATACCCTGTGCGAGGTCTGAGCAGATGTACAGGCTGCGTTTCTAGTAAGCACGTGCCCAGTGCAGAGCCGCCGGGGCGTCGTGTGGGTGCGGTGACGCCCAGCAGACACTGCTAAGCTGTCTCCTGGGGCAGCTCCCTGGAGACAGGGACGTTTCCCGAAGTTCCCTTTCTAGACACGTTGGTGGGTATCCAAGGGACCCGATGGCGGCTTTAATGCGCAGTAACCCGACAGCCGAACCCCTTTCCGCGTCGTTCCGTAGTCCGGCATCGTCCTCTGTCCAGTGCCCACGTCTTCCGCCTGGTTCGTTTTGGGTTCTGTTTTCC